TACTCACTTCCCCATTGGCACTTACCATAGAAACACCCCCCACTGGAATTCATGCATTCTGTCATTTGTGTTAAGACCTATCGAGTTAACTTAGTGTCCTTAGGTGTCCCTCGGTGCAAGTTCATCCTCTGGGGACTAGTCAGCCTATCTGGAGTCCCTCCCTTTAAGGAGATCAGCTCTTCCTCACCTAGTAGTAATCAGTTGCCAATAGTTCTTCGTTCAGCTAAGATTGGGGCCTGCTTTGCTGGGTTTTTGGGTCTTATGCATGTTGATATCACTGCTATAGGTTTGTATGAGAAGGGTCCCAGGCGCCTATAGGATTATTTGCATATAGTCATGCACCTTCTCCCTAGCTCTTACAATCTTTCCACTCCTTCCACCATGGTCTCGGAGCCCTGGGAGGGTGGAGTTTAATATAGGAGTCCTGTCCAAGGGCCCTCTGTTGTATGAGGGAGATTCATTGATAAGAGTTGAGAGAGTTGACTCCTGGGGTTTGCTTCAAAATACTCTGGGGTCAAGTATGGCAGGAAGGGGTGAATGAACCAGATTGCCCTGGGTTGTCTCGGCTGCAGCTGGTGGGCAAGTAGGTAGAATTCAACATATTATTCTGTTTGCTGTTGTTTCTGTGTGAAATTCTCCATGAAAAGAAGTTAAAAGGAATACACAGGAGATTTGCTCCTGCAAGCTCCCTGTTGGAGACGTACCTACATTACAGTCACCTGGGAAGGAGAGTGTGTTCCTCTTCAAATACAAACACCTGGGCCTATCAGCAGCTCACTGAAAGAAAAACCTTCTGGGGCTGGCACCCAGGGATACACTCTTTCAGCAAGCTCCCTGGTGATTCTATGCTCACTAAAATTGGAAAACGACTGATTAAAATTGAGTGATTACCTTTTAAAAGTAAACAATCACTTCTGAATTAATTTGTTTTGTAAATTCAGATTTTTTGAATATTAATTTTCTTCCAGCAAACCAAAATTTTGAAGAGGATCCTGTTACTGCAAGAATAAATTATTTTTATTTTTATTATTTTTATGTGTATAAGTGTATTGCCTGCAAGTATGTGAGCGCACCCGTGTCGTGTCATACAATGCCACAGAGGTCAGAGGAGGGCTTCGGATTCCCCTGAACTGGAAGTTAAGGACGGTTCATAGCCACCATGTGGGTGCTGGGACTCGAACCCAGGTCCTCTGCAAGAGCAGTCAATGCTTTTAACCATTCAGCCATCTCTCCAGCCCTGCAAGAACAATTTTTAAGTATTCCTGTGCGATTCGTTTTGTAGGAACATATACTATAGTGTAGTACTTGCAGAAAGCCCACATGCAACCACAGATTTTTCAATGGGTGTCATAGAACCAATCTCCAATATCAAGGCAAGACAGATTAGAGGGACCCATCTCTTCCTGGGGTACAGGGGCAGTGGTTTATTGCTACAGTATTGTGCTGGTTAGGTTTTGTCAAACTGACACAAACTAGTGACACCTGGAAGAGCCTCAATTGAGGAACTTCCTCCATCGGATTGGCCTGTAGGCCTATGGCCACGACTGTGAAACATTGTCTTAATTGCTAATTGATGTAGGGGGCCCAGCCCACTGTGGACTGTGGGCAGTGGCCATCTCTAGGCAGGTGAGCCTGGGCTTTATGAGAAAGGTAATTAAACAAGGTAGAAGAAGTGAGCCTTCTCCAAGATAGGAGAAGTAAGTAGCATTCCCCCATGGTCTTTGACTCAGGTCCTGCCTTCAAGTTTCTGTCTTGGTTTCCTTCATAGATGATGGACTGTAACCTATATTCTTTCCTCCCCAAGATGTTTTTGGTCAGTGTTTTATTGTTTTATCATAGCATGAGAAACCAAACTAGGACAAGGTAAACATTTAAAACACTGGTGATATTAATTATTGCAAATCACTTAATGTACTGTAAATACCACAGTGTTTGCTATTTGACTCCCTGAGTGTTCTTAGACTCCTCCCTGGTGCTCTGGTTGCCTGTAGCAAGCACTATCAGTCAGATGGCTGAACTGCCCTTATACCAATCTGGTTGCTCTGAAAACTCAACAGAAGTCTTGAAGATTCATGGTAACCACAGCAGCTTACTGCTGAAGCCAAATCTAGCTTTAGGCTCTATTCCAGCTATGACTATTTCAAACACCTTGCATTGGACCTTTTTGCTCTCACGGTGGCCTTATAGAAGGCCAGTGATTAGTCAGCAACAAGCAGGGAGCAGCAACAAGCAGGGAGCAGCAACAATGGCTCTAAAGGGCAAAGCTGAGCAATGGCAAGCCCAGGCTGCCAGAAGAACTTCAGGGGCTGCCAAGCTAAAGGCCAAGGGTCTCAGACACCCTCCCGAGCTGTAACACTAGCCACTGACAAGGGCTCAGGGTCCTGATACTCTGGGTCTGAGCACTCTAACATTAGCATTAACTTGTTAGGATTGATATCTACTGCTGCCGCTCACTGCTGCTGGAAGACAGGGACTAGCTGAGCTGATGATGGTTAAAGCTCAGAGTAATAGCCTCCATCCTGAGTTCCTAAAGCTATAAATCCTTAGTAAAGCCTGGAGACACTTCATTCTGGGGTGTGAAGCAGTAAGCCTCTGGATCTGCCAGCCTAGCCCAAGGCCTTAGACACTCAAGGTTCTAGGACTGTCAATACGGAAAGAACCAGAATAGCTCCTCACCTATCTACGATTCCTATCCCAGTAGACAGCAAAAGGACACGGCTTATTTGTCACAGAATTTAGCCTAGCGGTAAAACAGATGAGCTTCAAAGCTAAAGATAGAAGTATTGGGGCTGGAGAGATAGTGCAATGGTTAAGAACACTGACTGTTCTTGCAGAAGTCTCAGGTTTGAATCCCAGCACCCACATGACAGCTAACAACTGTTTGTAACTCCAGTTCCAGGGATCCAACAATCTTGTCTGTCCTCTGAGGGCATTGCACAACATGGGTACACTTACCTACAAGCAGGCAATACACGCATACACGTAAAATAAAAATATTTTTTAAAAAGATAATAAGCCTTCTATCACTTAGTGCCCATTTTCTCCTTAATTCTTTGTGAAATGGAAGCAAAGTGATCTACCTATAGCATGCTTTGGAGGACTGAATCATAATTGTACACAGTGTCTGACGTTTTAAGTGGTTAGCAAAGGTTTGGGCAATCCTGAGGTAATAATGACAGCAATTAACTTTTGCTTTCTATTCAGAGCAACTGGGATGCAATTTCTGAGGTTGTGTTCGAATCTCCTTTCCACATTCTCTATCCCTAAAAACAGACCAGAACAGAGTATGGAAATTCTCTTGGCATTTACTTGCTTTTACTGTCAGGAAAATTTCCCTCATGCTTAAGTGAATTCTTGCTCAACTTTCCCTCAAATCATTTTGTCTTTAGAGGGGATAAATGGGATCTTTTAATAACCTTACATCTCCAGACTTGACTGTGCCATGTACTTCTCACACTAAACACTCCAAGAAAACAAAACAAAATCCCACTGTAGCATTATGTATGACCATGTAGTTGGCTAGGGTTGGATATTATACAGTAATGCTTAATTTCAGAACCCGAGTATCACCATCTGACATTTTGTAATTGCAGGACTTGAACACATCATTGGATTCACCTGCACTTTATTTTCCTTTATTTTAGTTTTGCTAAAACTATATAAAACTATATTTAGTTTTGCTGGGGCTGTGAAAATTTAGTAAACAGGGGGCAAGGACCTAGGAGCATGTGCTGGGCACATTAAATTCTTAATGAAGGGCTGGAGAGATGGCTCAGTACACTGCTCCTGTAGAAGAGCATAGCTCAGTTCCCAGTACTTCTACTCACAATCCCCCGCCACTCCAGCTCCAGGAGGATCTGATGCCTCTGGCCTCCATGGCCACCTGCACTCACAAGCACAAACATACATAATACACATAATTAAAGAAAATTTAACAGGGGTTAACAACACTGGCTGCTCTTGCAGAGGATCCAGTTGGGTTCTCAGCATCTATATAGCGGATGACAACTGTCTGAAATTCCAGTTCCAGGGGATCTGACATCCTCTTCTGGCCTCTATGGGCCACTTTGGTACACTTAGATACATGCAGGCAAAACACTCATACACATTTTAAAAAAAAGAAAAATTAAAAATAAAATCTTTAAATCCTCGATGAAAACAGGAATGATTATACAGTGACTATTTTGTGACATTCAACACTTCTTCAATGCAAATCACAAATGCAATAGTATAATCTGACTAAGGCCATTCTTCCGACCGCTTCCCCACTTTCCGCAGGGCCCCACTGTAGAAACACCTTTGGTGGGCTTCCAACACGGCATCAGTTCCCAGGTGTGATAGGCCAATTTGGCTTGGCAAGCCTTCCCTTTCCAAGCATACATCACTCACAGGGTCATACAGCCCCCTCTAAGTACCTGTCCTATTACATCTTTCCTCTTTACTTTTAAGAATCTGTTGAGCACATTCTAGAACTTAAAAGAGGATTAAAAACCTGTTCACTTGTCATTGAAATGAACAGGTAGCTACGAAGCCTGCAGGAGTGTATTATTTTTCTAGCTACTGTCACTGCATGTTTTAAGTGTAGTTTTCACAGCCACTCAGTCATCCTACAAGGTAAAACCCATCCGCGACAAGAAACTAACCAGACGCAACTAAACCTGGAAAGTACGTTTGGAAAGTATGTTTGCAATTACGGAATAAAGGAAGGATTCTAATTATAGGCTTCATATCATTGTTTCTTTTAACGAATCCAGGAAATAATTTGCTTCTGTTAAAAACTTTGGGACAGATGTGCAGTAACCAGATTGGGTAAACTGAGAAAGAAACTGTCATCACAGAGCCTGCCAATCAAACCCCGGGGCAGGGACCGCCGCTTGCAGGGACCGGGTCTCGGGATCGTATTTCATTCCCGGGCCTGACCCCCGTGCTGGCAGGAAGAGGGGACCGGGACCCGGGGACCCCGGCAGGGCGCGGCCGCCAGTCTCCGCCCCCCACCTCACCTGCGTGGCCTCCAGCCGCGCGCGCACCTCCCGGATCAGGAACGGCTCCAGGCCGCGGCCGGCTGTACAGAAGAACCGAGCGCCCGGGGCGGCCTCGGAGCCAGACTCTGCCAGCGCCGCCATGGCGGCCAGCCCGGGTCACGTGGGCGCGGGCGCCTCCCCCACCCCACCTCCCGCGTAGCTCTCGGAGGCGTGCCCTGTGGCCGTAGCCTTGGCCTGCGCGGGAGCGCGCCCGGAGCGTCGGCTTCTCGGGAGCGCCCCCTGTTGGTTTCCCTGGGAACTACACGGAGCCTTTTGGAGCCAGGCAAAGAATCCCAGGAATGTTGTCATTTCGATCATTAGTGGCTGGATCCCCTGCGGAATGCTGTCATTACTGTCACTAGTGGCTGGTACCACTGGTTTTTCACACCGAGGGGACAAATGCCCCAAGAGACCCAGAGACAGCGCAGCCGAGGCTAGGACCTCGGTTTCCCCATATCAATTTCCCTCCGTTCCTCCCTGCTCCCTGCTTTGTTCTGTCCTTTCTCACTACTTCGTAAGTCTTCACCAAAGCTTGGGCCAAACCTGTGGTTCCACAGTGCAGGAGCAGAGATTTCTGTTCTACAACAAAATATCTTTATGCTCCCCAAACGTTTCTTACACTTGATTGACCGTCAATGTAATGGATGAACGAATGTGTTCTCCAGCTTGGTATACCTGTTTTGAGTGCCTCTCAAAACAGTATTTAAACGGTGATTTAAAAAAAAAATTCTGAGTTTTAAAATGACAATTAAAATATAGGTAAAATAAAACTATACCTTATTGAACAGCATTAAATTAACTCTGTACCTATGTATTGAATTAGGTATGTAGAAATTGTTAAATAACAGTGTCTAGTAAGTGCCTCCCATGTAGTCCAGAAATGGCCACCAATGTAACCCAAACTGTCTACCCTCTCACCCACTGGCCAGCTCATGACAGGTTGAGACAGTGTGGTAAATGTTCCTCATGGAGTCCTGTCACAAGAGCTTTCCAAAGGTTCAGTCCTAAGTCCTCAGACCCATCCATTTGGTAAATCCTCCCAGTCCCTTTTCCAAACTGTTTTTCCTCTGGGTTGTTGCCATAGCTAACTCCAGCTTCCCTATATTTTGGGTTCTCCATGGAAAGGACCATGGAACCTCAGCAAGTGTTCCCAAGTGGGTAAGATCATGGGTATGCCACATCCAGTTCAGTTTAATGATGGTACAGCTACTCTTTTTCAGTTACCAGGCTGTCTTTTCAATTATTTTTATTTTATGTGTATGAGTGTTCTGCCTGAATGTAAGTACAGCACGTGCATGCAATGTCTCTGGAGGCTAGAAGAGGGCATTGGATTCCCTGGAACTGGAGTTATGGTTAGTTGCTAGCCACCTTGTGGGTGCTAGGAATTGAACCCAGGTCCTCTGCAAGAACAGCCAGTGCTCTTAACTGCCGAGTCACCTCTCCAGCCCCCAACAGGCTGTCTTAAGGAGTCAAAGACAAGGGCTTGAACTTCAAGGTCTTAGAGGAGGGTGAAGTTGACTGCCTTACTTTCAGGAAGCCTTGGCAGTGGCATGGACAAAGAGGGGACAGGAAGCACTTTCTGGAGAAAATCACCCCTGAACTCTGCTTGGATGATTTGGGAGGGGCAACCATGGACACATATCTCAGATTGTGTGTAGGGTGGAAGCAGGAGGGCCTGAGAGCAGTTAGGTGTTAAAACATCAACTAGATGACTTGAGGAGTAGATAGAAAGGTGGGGGAGCAGGTGTGGGGGGGTTACAAACTCCAGCCTGGCTGTGGCCAGCAGTGTTCACTCCTGGAAGTCACCTCAGCTCTGCTGAGGCTACAGTCTTGCACAGCCAACCTTCCCGTTGCATCTTCCTTCCCTTCCTCCTGGTGTCTCTCCCTCCAGGAGCGTTGGGTCCACAAGGGCCTGCTCTTGTTAGTTTGTTCACCAGTGGGGGGGTCTTGTGTATTTTTCACCTGTGGGCAACCACTCACACCCACCAATCCCCTGCATGAAAACTTGTGTTAAATTAGGGTTCTGTCTCTTTAAAGAGAAAATGATTGGTTTTTCTGGATTTCTCTCCCCATTACTCCTTTATCTTCAGTTATTTCTTATTAAAAAACAAGGCTGCAGCTGGGTGTGGTGGCTCACACCTTTAATCCTAGCACTTGGAAGGCAGAGGCAGGTGGATCTTTGTGAGTTCGAGGCCAGCCTGGTCTGCATAGTGAGTTCCAGGACAACTGGGACTACAGGCTGGGACTGGGGAGATGGCTCAGTAGGTAAATTAAATGCTAAAATGCTATATAATCACGAGAAACTGGGTTTGGTCCCTAGAACCCATGGAAAAAGCCTAGCATGGTGGTACATACTTGTAATCCCAGCTCTGAGGAGACAAGTGAATCCTTGGGGCTTGTTGGACAGCCAGCCTAGCCAGACTAGTGAGATCCAGGTCCCAGTGAGAGACCTATTTTTAAAAAATAGGTGAATGGCACCCGAGGAACAACACCCAAGTTGTCCTCTGGTCCTACATGCATGTGCACATATACCCACATACACATGTGCCCCTGCACACACACCACACACACACACACACACACACACACACACACACACACATATACACATAAAGCTTATACTGAAAAATGATCTCAGATCTCTATAGATGAATTTAACTTATCCAGCTGTGACTTGCCATTTGAATATTACATATTTAACATGCAGGAAGTTGGAAGTCAGCAGGAACAATTTTAGAACAGACAGATTTTAATTTATTTATTGTTTGGCAGTTTCATACATTTCTATAATGAATTTTAGACATATTCACCCAAGACAGACATCTAAGTGGAGGTGCTGTAAGAATATAAGATAGATTATTTGCTTTTCCCTATTTTGATACAACTGACAATTCCTTTTGTTCTTAATTGTATTTAATGTATTAGAATGTAGATGTTTTAGGTGGTGAAAATGCTGAGGATGGCTCCATTCATTTGAACACCATAGTGACACACTGGCTTGCTCTTGGTAGGCACTCTGTCAGTGTGAGTGCTGAATTGGATGAAAGTCAATGGAATGTAACTAAGAGAAAGGCCAATACAGGGAGTCTCTCAGCTGGGAGGATTGCTAAAAACTGCCTCTGCTGTTAGTTTTAACTGTCAATTTGATACAAGCTACAATCACCTGAGATCCTCAATTGAAGAATCATCTAGATCAGATTGGCCTATGGGCATGTCTGTAGGGCATTGTTTACATCATTAATTGACACAGAGCACTGTGGGTGGGACTATTCCCTAGGCTGGGCTTTGAACTATGTAAAAGAATAAAGAAAGCCAGCTAAACATAGCAGAAAGCAAGCAAGGACAGATCCATTCATTTATTCTGTCTCTGTTCTTGACTTTGGAAATGACACATTAAGTTCCTGCCTCAACTTCCCTGCAATAATGAACTTCAATCTCAAATTGTAAGCCAAATAAACTCTTCCCTCCCCTAAGATACTTTTGGTCAGGGTGTTTTATCACAATATCAGAAATGAAATTAGACCACCACCATGTCAGCAGTGGCCTCTGTGAGCAGATGTGGAATAAGGGTTAGAAAGTGAGGTCAATGAAGTAGGAAAGTTGGGGCACTAAGAGGTAAGAGGGCACCGTGCACGAGCGTCTTCACAACCTTGCGTATTGTATTCCCTCTTCCTTACCATCATCACATCTACCCCCTCCACATTAATACATATTTAGTAGCCCAGAATATTCCACAGATTTACATGAGATGGTCTTTTAGCATCACCTTTGCCACTTCCCTCTCCTGTATGCCTGTAGAGTTGAATGGGGTTGGTGCCAAACCTTGCCGCCCCTTTTTCCAGGAGATTAAGAACCATTACCATATGTCAGTATAGTTACTTTTCTTGTTGCTGTGACAATATAAATGATAGAAAAAAAATCTTAATGGTACGGTCCATCATGGCAGGGAAGGTATGATAGAGCTCTTGGCCATGGGAATACATAGCTGGTGTGGCTGGGACTCCTCACATCTTGATCAACCAGAAAATAGAAAATGGCTCCGTGTGCAGCCAGGCTGTAAACTCAAGGTTTGCCAGCAGTGGCCTACCTCCTTCAGCTAGTCTTCATTTCTCAGGGGCTCCACAGGCTCCTGAAACAGCATCGCCAGGTGGGGATCAGTGTTCAGGCACTACAAGGGGATATTTCACATTTAAACCATAACACCAATCACTACCATCTGCCCACTCTCTACCCTACAACCTCAGCCCTCGAGAACTTTGTATACCATTCCCTCTACTTGGAACACACTTCTATTTTTTTTCTTTAGGGATAAACTACACCTATGATGTTCTTTCTTGTATCCCTTATATAATATTTTGTTCCTTCATAACTTATTTATGCATAAGTATTTATTGAATAAATGACAATGTGACACAATATGACTTGGAGAAATCTTTAATTTAGTGGTAGGTAATGGTGAAAGGGTTAGATTGTTGAAGAGACATATAAATAATTAAATTAAAAATTTTGAGACAGGGTCCCACTATGTAGCCCTGGCTTGTTTGAAACTTGCTAGATAGACCAGACTGGCCTCAAACTCACAGAGATCTACCTGCCTCTGCCTCACACATGCTGGGATTAACGGTGTGTGCCACCATGCCCAGTCAGTTATATAGTTTTAAGTTTTATGGAAGAAAAAGTTGCTTTATTGGTAACTGGTTGGGGTGTGAGATCTTCAGGGATAGTTTAATTATCAGAAGGCAAAACTAGTAGGAAGCTGTTGCAAGTACCAGCTTTCTGGTCATGGTGCTTTCTAGTCTGTCCAGTGATTTGAGTCTCATAATGTCTTACTTATTTGTTTTCAACAATCTTTTTCATCATCAGTGAAAGGCAGCTGCCAGTCATTGTCACAGTCACATAATGATCATTTTAAACGACTTATATGCCCATGGTGATCCCCTCAAGTGATGCTTCCTTGAACAGTCAAAAAATAGAAAATTCAGCAGAAAATTGTTACAGAGTGTATGTAAACTTGCTAATTCTATTGTGCCATCAAAGTCCTAAAGGTGGAATCTTTATGCTCTGATCTAGAGACAATTCCTTTCTATGTGTTATCTGCTTTAGTTACACAATGCAT